ATCAGATGGGCTACAGGTTTCTTTTACAACAGCGGAGAGAGGGACCATTTGGAGGAGAAGGGAAAAACCTGCTGTTTGTTTGACTGTGTTAAAGCAACATTATCTTTTATGCTAATCCCATAATAAGCAAAGGGGAAGGAGCTCGGTGGCGGATTGATAGGCGGCAGCGCCACGGAGTCACCTGACCAAGGCGCAGTGGGTAATCATAAATCAATCACTTGCACGGAGAGATCGATGGAGCTGCGCGCTCCTCTCTCCTCCGCTTCATCTTAAATCAGCGTGGGTTAACACATGGCAGCATCAGAGGAACAGGGCAGAGCTGGTTGACCCACACACCCGCTTTAATTAAGAGGTTTCTCAGCTCCATAAAAGAGACAGAATATTCAAGGTTGCATGCGTCCTGATTTGGACGCATTCTGCAGAATCGGTGTGGATAATGTGGTGTTAAACGCGTAATGCGGCGCTTAACTGTGCCAAAATGGACTGAAAGTGTAATTTGAGACAGGAATATATATATTATAGGCTAATAACTATAAAACAAATCGAACCAATTACGCGTTAAACATGAATCTAGGCTACCCTTCATGATATATTTGCCATCTGTGTCACACACCTCTCAGTAAAATTGGATATTTTGTGGCCGCTCCACTTTAAAAACATGACAGTTTTGTCGAAATTGAGAATTTTTTGGTGGAAAATAATATTAGGCACGGGGTCTGTGGCGCCCCGGGGTGAGAGGGGGTGATAGGAGACACCCATTCACTGCGTCAGGTGTGCCACACAGGCTATGGGGAAACCTGAGCGTTTCTATGGCAACTCCTTTTGCTTTTAAGCCCACATGGCTGTCCGCCAGTCTCCAGAACAAGGCAGGACGTCTCACCAAAACAACAGCACGACGAGCTGCCGGTGTGCAGAGCGGGAGTAAGGAGGGACCGGAGGCTCCTCCGTCCCTCCGCGCACACAGACAGCGGCTGGACTGCCAGGCTGCCGACAACACGGCTGCCATTTTGTGGAGGAAAAAAAACCCGTATCGGTTCAACGGGCTGCGGGGTTTCCTTCGAAAAGGGGGGGGGGGGCAAATAAAACCACTAACCGACACGTTTTACACCAGCTTCCCAAATCTTACCGGACCACGGGGGGAGGGAGTCCGTGTGTCCAACTCGGGGAATAATCTCGGCTTTATTCTGGTTCGCTTTGCGCCGTGTTTTTCATGGCGTGTGCGCGATAACCAGCACCGTGCAGCACCAACATGGCCAGACAGCAGCGACTGCTGAAGTTGAAGCGCACACCGGATCATACTTATTTATTCTGCGCCATTCTCAACTAAACTAACACACGGAGTCTTTATTAGACACCAACACCGCTTGGACTTTGCGCCAACGAGCTTTTAACTCCACAGACGCGGTTGTGACAAAACACAAAACGGTGAATTCGGTCCTAAAATGCCAAAGTATCACCGTATTTCCAGCTGAGCAGTATTTCTGAGGCATGAGACGGATGTGAGTTGGAAGATTGGACAATAAACTCAATCGGTATTAATAAAAACTGGGCTGTAATAAAAGTCCAGGGCGCCCTTTGCTGTCATTTAAAGAAATAAAAGCAGCAGTCATTAAAAGTCTGCAGACTGGACATGAGGAGGTGACTCTCTGTCCAGCTCACGGTTACTTTACGGTGCCACAGCCGGCACAATGCTCCAACCGACCCTCTTTGATCACACCACTGTGGGCAAGTTTGGACAGCAACCCCACACACACAGTTAATGATGGATAATGTCCACATATATGCAGGGAGCCTGTTGCATCATTAATCGATTGACTTGTGTTTGGACAACTGCTGTCCATGCGTGCTGTGGCAGCTCACTTCATCAGACAAATTCACAGAAGTTTCTTCACAGTGGGAACGAATCCTGCGTAATGGCTGCAGCACCAACCAACAAACGCCACAGTACACATCAAATCAAGCCTGTTAAAAGATGACCATGAAGACTGATTGTATAGCCTGCACAGATGATGCAACCATACACCACACAGGCTGCTCTCTTCATATGGACACATAGGTTTAATTATGGAGTCGGCGTTGGTAACACATCATCAATTAAATCAAACCCGCTGCTGAATCTTTAATTCTCCCAATAAAGCGACAACAAATGAGGGAGATTTTCCCCTCGCCCAAACCTCATTTATTCCCAAAACGGGAGCAGTTCCTCTTGTAAAGGTTCCCCCTTATATGCGTAAATCAACAGCAGCTAGAAATAACCCAATTAAAATCGGCAATGGGGAAAAAAACCCAAGACCTCATATTAACCGCTGTCAGTCAATTATGAAAATCGTCAAATAAACAAAGGGAAATTCCTGATTGACCACAGGACTGTGACGCATTGAAGTCAATGCAAACAGGAATTGGTTTGTTGTGTTAAATTGTGCTCATCGCACACTGTCAACCATCCAGTGTGCACAGACCTGTGAGGCTGTCAACCTGCACACCCGAGTGGGGGAAAATACATTAATTTTAACCCGTTAAGCACACACAGGGTGCCCAACAGCATTCATGAGTAAAATGATAATTTTTTATCCCCCAAGAGGCAGAAGCCCTGGCTCCTGTCTGCCTGTGCTGTGGCACCACATCCACAGCCCCACAGCGCGCCAGCATTTCGCCATATGAAGGTGAAAATATGGAAATCCATAACGAGCTCACATGTCAGCAAACACACATCTCTGCTGGATACAGCATGAGTGAAATAAAGTGAAACTACAAGATGCTTTGGCAGCTTGTGACACACAAGCAGCCTTTTGTATCCTGGCCGACGTGTCGCCCACATTTTTTTTTAAATTTCTCCAAAACCCAACCATCCATCTGATTAAAGATAACCACACACCGAGACATAAACAGCCACAGTGCGTGTTTAACAATGATCCAGTGTTTACCGAGCAGCCGTCATGAAACATTTATGCACAATCGAAATGGTTTGCCTCATTGTCACGTTTATGGGAGCCATCCAAGTTAAGTTAATAAAACCAACATTTAGTCACATACACCCAAAAGCAGCACAGCACCCTGTTCCCAACACCCTAAACATCCCAACTCTATAAAATAAAGACGCTGTATGGAAGTATGAAGACAGAGGGACCGTTTGGAGCACTTGCTGCTGTTAACATCTCAGCCAACCCAGCCTGCTTCGCCCGAGATCTCCCTCTTTACATAAATCCCAACGACGCAACACAAACCCCAACCCCGATCAACTTATACGGACGCATCACTGGAGAGTAGATAATGCAACAGTGCGTGTGCGTGGATCATAATTTGCGTCCGTGCCCGAGAGGGGAACATGTTTTGCTTAAAAAGTGGTGCGCAGACACACACGGAGCTCCACGTCGGTGATCGCTGCAGCCACCGTTGAAAGCTCCACATCCACCGCTGGATCGCTACGTGGAAAAACACAAAAGCACCGATCCCAAACCTCTCCTTGTGCCCGCGTTAGTTAGAGACGATATCGAATAAGACATACCTGGAGGCTCGGCTGGGGATCGGTGGGTCTTGAGACGAATAGACAATGAAAGTTGGGAGGCGATCAGCAGAAAATGAATAGGAGCCGAGCCGCCATCTTGAAGCAGGCTGCAGACGCTGTCAGTGGCGGAGAGCGCACGGCGGACCGGAGCGCATTTCAGATGTGCGAATAAAACTCCTCTTTTCCTCGCCGCTTGCGCGCTGCGAGCGTATCCGATTCGCGGCTCCAACGCAGCCCAGTCCTCCGGCTTCGGCTCGGGAAGGCTCCTACTTCGGCACCGATAACTTTGCCTCCAAAATATCCGCTTCACCCCCAGTAAAATGCAGCAGTGTGTGTGTGCTCCGTGGAAACTGACACCGTCCCCAAAATGGCTTGTAGTTCGACCGCCCCGCTTTGGTCACGTGGTCCCGTTGCTTAAGGGTGCCTAGGAATTACTGTCGGTGTATGCAGTTTCTGCCAATCTACTACGCATGATATAAAATAACACAGGAAACACACACATGTACATTTTAAACGCATTTTCATCACCAAATCGCATAAACTACCAAACAGTTTGGGCTTCACCGGAGCTGAAAGGACACCAGGCAGCTGCTTAAGGGCGCATAAAAATTACTGTCGGTGTATTCTGTGTCTAATGTATGACGCATGATTTTAAATAACCCATAACAGCCTACACATTCACACAGTTTGATGCACTTTTCACCTCCAAAAGGCGCAATCCATGCACTTTGCGTATCCTTATTTCGCTCAAAGGTCACTATGATTAGAGGCGTTTAGAAAGTAGGCTACTGATGGTGTGCCCTCGTCTCTCTGATGTTAAAAATAACTGCAGCACACGCACTCACACGCGATCGTGTCGTTTCGACCGTCAAAAATGCCTCAATCTTCTCCACGCAAACTGTTAGGAGCACCAGGCGGCTACCTTATTCATCCCTGTGCTTTGCTGCTTTCAAAGACCCACGCACTTGGTTAAAACACGTCCATGTGACAAATGGCTCTGGTGTCAAACCTTTGTCACAGGCTGTCCTGACATCTGCAAGAAAAAAAAAAAGAAAGAGAAAAATGCGCCGCAACTTCCACTTGATGAATTGAAGCCTTTATCCTTCAGCCAGCGCCGCTACAAATGAAGGCATCTCGGATGTTTATGGAATCTGAGCTGCTGTGGTGCTCCAGCTGAGGAGCTTTGAACTTGGATGCAGGATTCTGCTTCTCCCAGTCCTCCAGAAAAAGCTGAGCTGAGCCTCTTGTTGCAACAAATGCTGCAGGAAACTAAATACACTGCTGTCATGAAACTATGGCAAAAATCCTACTCAGGCTCCTAAGAGTTGACAAAACACAAACCTAGAAGTTCATTGGCTCCATATTCAAACTCTCTGACACAATGACATCCACTGTATTTATCAAAAATATTTTCATGCCCAGATGTGAATTCCCAAAGACACTTTGATCCTTGTCAGTACATCAAACCGTGAAATCATTCAAAGCACAAAGTGGATTTGATTTTTTTCTCACTTTTAATTAAAACACACAACTTGGAATGGTCTTTCTCTCACATGCACACACGTCATGTCGATCTGCAGGTACAAAAGAAGGCTATAAAGAGGTGAGCAATGCCGCTGGAAAACTGATGAAGTTCAGTGCTTTGTGGTGAGGAAACTGGACACCGGCATCACATCTGACTGGCTTTCTCCACACTCTTGGCAGCGTCTTTGAGCTTCCCCACCAAATCCTGCAAACAAAATCACTGATCACTTTCAACAAGGAACATGTCCGGCGAAAAAATAAAATACAAATAAATAATATTCAGGTTATTATACTCATTATAAATACGAGTTAAACAAATTAAGTGTGCGTTCAGAATTTTGGATTCAGCCTTGCCACATTAGACTAACACCCGAATTGAATCAACCAAATATTTTGCATCGTGAATCTGATCACAGTCCACATGATTTAAATACAGGTCAGCCATCACACAGAAAGCAGCCGAGGTCACAGTGGACCTTTATAATCTCATTCAGGCTTCAGCGATGACGCACAATGCCCATAATTAATACAATCTATCGGGTCTGGATTTATTTCATATTTAATGTTTGGCTGCAGCTCTGAAAATCAATTTCATGTGCAGACAAAAAATGTATCATGTCAAACGCATAGATAAGATGCAATTTAACACGTCTATTTTCTTTGGAGGTTGCCCTGTCTGAAGAGGAGAACCCTGCAGCAATCATTTATTCATAAGGAGGCTGAATGTGGTGCGTAAAAGTTGCAAAGATACAACTGCAAAACGGTCCAGCCCTGGAATAAAAATGACACACGAAGAGAAGATAAAATAGCAGCATATAAAGACAAAAAAAGATCCTTCCTCTGACCTGTAGCTGCTCCACTGTGCATGTAAAGTTGATATCCTCCGGGGATCCTTCGTTCTAACAAAAGGAACAAATCGTCGTTTTACGCACAGAAACGCACCACACACATCCATGAAAATCCGTGAAAGTGGAGGCATAAACATGTGTTGGAGTCTTACCTCAGTGTTCAGTGAAATCAAGTAGAAAGGCTCGTTGACCTTATCGACCTGCCCGTTCTGTAAAGGACACAACATTTTAGTTTGAAGCAAGAAAGTGCGCAACAAAAGTGCTCCAAAACTTGCTGTATGTACCTTCACGTGGTATTGTAGGCGCCATGACGCGTCAGTGATCTGTGGTGGACACCTTCCTATGCTGTGGAGAGGGACAGAAAATGTTTTACTGCATCAAGTAGAGATTAAACAGAAAACCTGGAGCAAGGCTATAAAGAAAGAGCAGAATTGTCTCGTGAGCATTTTTGGCCGGTTCTCTAAAGCTTTCCAGCATTTACTAAATAACCATTTAAGGTTATTAAACCACATGTCCCACTGCTCTGTGTATCACACATTTTTCTGAGTGTGGGATTAAAAGACTTTCCGTGTTTTTTATGAATCGGCCGCTTGTTTGCAACAGTTCTAAATCAGTTTGGAGACAATGTGGCTCTTTCACAAAGAGAGTTTGTTTATGGCGCGTCATAAAGCAGCGTTTACATTGCAATTAATCACACTCCGTGTCCTTCTCGACCCTCTCTGCTCGGCGTGGGCTGAAGCAACAACTGGCTGGCTCTTCCCTCGATTTATCTGCTTTAATGCTTTAAAACTGCGTCTAAACGGTTTGTGTTCCCACATGTTGATCCGTGCGTTTTTTCCACGTGATACCATAAATCAACATCAGTGACGTGGAGTCAAATAAAAAATGGATAAACGTTGAGTTTGTGATCATCAGTGAACAACCAGTGAGCAAAATCGTTCAAATACAATCATGCAGGTTTAAAAATATCCAGTGCTCCACTTACATCATCATCAGTTTGCATCAAACTCAAAAATAACACCATCACCTCCACAAACCTCCTCATGCTTACCTTGCTAACAGATGCTCCAGTTCTTTTTTATGTTTCTGTAAAACAAAACATGGATCAATGGGCAGGTCAGCCACAGCCACAAGACTACATGCAACAAATAATAAATGTTATAATAAATGTTTGTCACCTGGTGTGTGCTACAGAATATTTCTATTCTCTCTGCGCTGAATGTGAGTTCTTCAAGGCACGAGCTGCAAGAAGGAAACAACCTTTAGATTTTCAAAAAACTCAATTTCATTCATATTTTTGGAAAGGGTTAAAGTGGAGTTTTAATTGTAACCCAGACAGTTTTTACCTTTCCAAACAAAGAGACAACACAGGAACAAATACATCAGAGCTACTTTATCCCATGAATGTATGAATGTTGCTTGTCCAAGTGAAGAGGGGTTGTAATCACAGTTAAAAAGCCATTTTAGGATGTGGGGAAATTTAAGACAGCCTGAAAACTCAAGGGTTTCTGAGAAGTACAAAAAAATAAATACAAAATAAATAAATAAAAATACTTCCATTGATGTCTAAATGATTCTTCAGCTGTATATTGGTGTCTGTTTGTTGGATGATCACACACATGCACATCTGTCGCACATGTTTATCTTCTATATCAGGGGTGTCAAACACACAGCCCGGGGGCCAGAACCGGCCGCCAAAGGGTCCAATCTGGCCCACTGGATAGCTTTGCACACTTAATAGTGATGCACATGTGAAGGCTGAGAGGTGCCAGATTTCAGGAGCAAGTTAAACAGTTAATAGCTGCTTCAGAGGCTTCTCCACCCCGACCAGAATTCTTTTCTTTCGCTTCAGTTTGCTGTGATGTCAGGATTACAACACAGGAGTGGAAATGTATATAAAAATGCACATGTAATGACAGCGAGGTGTCGACTGACTGAATGTGGAAGAACTGAGAAATACTGTGAAATTGCATTTATTCTTCTGACGACATCACAGGCTGTTTGTCATCTGTTTTGTGAATGGAAGAGCATTTTTAAAATCTTGAAACAAAAGAAATGTTAAAAAAACTGAAGGCATTTGTTATTTTTAGGATATTATGCAATGGTTTTACTGGTCACCTGCGATCAAATGCGACTGTATGTGACACATGAACTAAAATGAGTTTGACATCCCTGCTCTATATCCTGAATACAACTCTGACGATGATCAGAAAAACACCCTCTCTTCTCTAACTATAAACACCCTAAGCCAATGACAAAAAAATCAACATGTTAAGACAATGTAGATGTACAATTATGAGAAACTGTATTTTAATGATAAGCTACCACTGCACTCAGACCAACACGACAAATAACTCACATCCATTACTTTATTTAAATTGATTTGCAGCCATTTACAGTTTTAGTTCTAATACACTTGCAGACAGATTCAAAAGTTGCTTAATAATGCTAATCATAAAAAAACCTAACAACAACTTGGCTGGTACATTAGCAGGACATCCCAGACCATCATGTTTTTATAACCTCTTGAGAAGCTCTCAGCCACACCACCTAGTTTAGATGGCCTAAAGAGATGCCGTGAGAGGGACATCTGGGGAGGAGATAACTAGTGGAACAACTAATGGGGAGGAATTATTGGATTGTGGTTTAAAGTATCAAGAGAAAACCAGACATGCTTGATGAATACAAAATCATCAATAGGATTTCTTTGACGCCAAGTAAAATGGCACAGTTAGAACTGAGAAACTGAGCTGTGACACCCTTTTACATATGTTGTACTCATGCCCCATGATAGACCTTCTATGGGCTCAGATTATTGCCTTCATCAATGCAGTGAAGCCCTCTGCACTTGTACAGATACAAATGCTTTGTCTATTGGGTGCTGAGAAAGAAATGGGCTTAACACTAAGGAGATCTTACGGTGCAGGATAGTGCTGTGACAGATATATCGGTGAAGGGCCGCTAAAATCTCCTCCTATGAAGGACTCAAGAATCTACATGAAAATTCGGGGCCCGTATACTGTAACCTGAGGTACTGATGAGCTGCACCCTCTCTTATAATGTGAGGTGTTAACTAGTGCACATAATTTGATATTTATGAAATGTACCATGTAATATCCATCATGCATGTATATGCTTTCATGTAGGCTATGTATATAATGCTCTGCCTTGGTTGTGTTCCCTCTATCCTCGTTCCCTTTGTCCTGTCTTGGTGTAGCTTTCTGTGGTGTATTTTATTGGTTGTATGTTTTTTTTTTTTAATCATCATTATTGCTGTTGTTTGTTTTGCTTGAAAAAACAATATAAAAGAAAAAAAACAGTTACACATCTGGACATAGGCCATACATTCAGAGCACAACAACACGGCTAAATCACATTGCTTTGCTGTATTTTAAATGTACAATATTTTACTGTGATATAGCTTCGTGTAGCTTTACAGGAAATATAGTTAACATATTTCATAAATTAATTTCTGCAATCTTTAAGTTCATGAAGATGCAAAAAGCAGGTCCCATTAGTTCCTCACATGGTCAGACACATGCACACACTATGATCTAGAGCAACATGCTTCCTGTCACACTGACATGAGCACATTTTTATACCCTTATACTGTCAACTACTGAGGCTATTTTTAGCCCGTGCAGGGGGGTGACAGCAGCATATCCTACATGTCACAGGAAACCCTCATCTGGCTCGTGCCGCCTACCTTATAGTCGACTTGTCTGCGTTTTGTTTGACAGCCTCCAACACGAAGGTGGTGGCTGCAGCGTGATTCTGTTTCAGCAGGATCTGGTCGATGTGCTTCAGCTCGGGCTGATCTGTAGGCACAAACACACGGTGTGAGGACGCGGCTCTGCAGGTAGCTCAGTATTTTCTCCTCTATGGAGCCAGCAGATCGGTAGAAATGATCCGCGATCCATACTTGTGCTCTCCAGATTGACGTGCGGAATGGGAATCAATGATGATTTGCATGTGAATGGGGCCCCTCAGCTGCATCAGCCAGGGGTCCTTTGTTTGTTTGTGTGGTGGACATTTCACTTTGTATATAATTCTGCCATTATAAGGACTCGGAGTTGGACAACACGTGAAAAGGAGCAAGCATGAAAAAGTCGGAGTGCAACTATTGCATGAGATGTGTGCTGTTATTTTGCATATCTTATATTTATTGCATAAATCCAAATATGTGCGGCACACAGAGCTGCAGATCTGCAACGCGCGCGTAAAGCGAACACTCGGATGTGTCTACATGATCAGTTTTGACTGATCTTGACTGAAATAGTCTCACAAAATATGCTGAGCAGACCTGATGCCGGTTTAAATGACAAAAGGCATCCCGAGTGGTGACTGTGTGACTGCTGCTGAATGTAAAGCAGGCAGCAGAAAGGGTTAACATCTGATCTGCTCCACCACCACTGCGCCTCATTAAAGATCTTTATACAAACAATCCGGTTTGGAGAAACTCGCAGCTTGCCGTGGGGAATCGTACAAATCCGCAAACATCGACGCAGCTCCTCCACACATCCACACGGAGAGAAACCGGAAGCAACAGCCGAGACAAAAGCAGCAGCGGCGGCGGAGGCAGGGAGAGAGAGGCGGCAGCTCACCGAGGACTCCCGGGTCGCCGTGAGAGGAGAGCAGGCTCCGGTAGGACACGTCCAGCAGCACCTGGAAGCTGCTGTGGTCGAAGGCGGACGGGTCGGCGAGAGACTGCAGCCCTCTCTGCACAGACTCAGACAACTCCATTTTGCAAGAGGGTGACCCACGACACCAGACCACGTGACGGATCAGCTGATGTAGCGTGTGGAGCAGCAGAGGGCTGAGCTGAGGAGCTGCGAGTGGGGAAACCACTGAGGGTGGATGAGGGCGAGCAAGATTGTGGGTTTGCGTCCTCACATTTTTGGTTTGCTGCACCTCTTACGTCACTCTGCTTAAGTTTACAGCTGATGACGACACAAAAGTGGACAAGCTGCAAAACCTGTTGGTTGAAACTTGCTTATTTGTGTTTAGTTAGGCTGCATCTGTAGTTTAATAGGCTACTGCACACAAATTATAGACATAGTAACAAGCTAAGATGCTGTTAATGAGGAAATCCTCATTTGAGGACACTGGGACTTTATTATAATATTATGGCAGCATTTTATAAAGGCCATTAATTAAGGTGTGACAGACTGTTCTTACAGACAAAAGGACAGCTTGGAGTGTGGAGCAATCGAAATTCATATAAAGCTACAAAATGATCAAATCACAAGACTTTTAGAAATGTTGCATTATTTGCAGTTTTGCACAGCCATGTTCAGGTATTGAAATGAACCCCACGTATGTGCCTTGCTGTGTGCTTTTGTGCCTTTTCAGGTTATTTTAATGCCTTTTTCTTACACATATGTCATCAAACTGCCAGGGAATGCAGATGAAAATTAGCCTGTATGGCTTAATATGTCACATGTACGTGACTTAAGTGGTCACGTTTAATAATGTGCACTGTCCCTTTCTGAATGAAATCATCATAATCCCATACAGTTACAAAATGTTTCATTGTTTTCAGTTGTTTTCAAGCATTGAAATAAACTGTTTTATACTTCATCACACTTGTGACTATCAAAAATAAACCAACTGTCCTCATATGCAGACATCTTTTTTCCTCAAAAACTACCTACTGTTTAAAGACAAAAATTAGTTTTTTTTATACTTATTAAATCCCACATAGAGATTGAAAGTGCAAACCAAACAAAAGCTGTGGTCTCAGCTTTTGATGCAACTTTTACCATGTTGCTTCACCCTGAATGCACAAAAATAGGCTAAAAACAAACTTGTGCACTGGATTTTGAGTGCAATGGAATTATTTCAGTACTCTCTGAGGTTATATCTGCATATTTAGTAAAATGAAACAAAAATATGCATAACAGCTGGAGTTCCACTGAAAACCTGAGATCTGATGGACTTCTATAGGCTGAACATTTTAGTATTTGTTAGATAACACATAGCCCACAACTACAGATGTCTGCAGCCAGTTTTATCCTATGAAAAGTATCAATAATAGTGCAGTTTCAGCTCTGTAGCCGAGGCTTGGAGCCACTCTTTTAAGTGGGCTACAATGAAGAGCTGAAGCCAGGAAGTAGCCATATCCCTTAAAGGTTTCTCATGTTAAATCTCATCACACATGAGATAGAGAGGAAGTGAAACTGATAACAGTGGGTTATCATTTGAGACAATTTTGTAGACACACTGTACAGTGAAGACAGCACCAGCTTTTTAAGAACATTCAGTTTTGACATGACACTGAAACCTGGTACACTTTATACACTTTATTCATCATGTTATTTTCAGTTGATATTTTTACAGCACGAGTAAAGACAGCACATTTTAATCTCCTTGTCTGCGTGGTTTTTGCTGCACTTCCCACGGTCATATTAGTGTCCAACGCAAACCTGTTTGATTTTAACTCGGTCATCACATTGATACGATTCTCACTTTTAATCATCTACATATGCTGTTGCTTTTCATGTGTGTGGGGAACTTCCCTGCCAGAGTCCAGAGAGTGTTTGAGTGAGCAGAGTAGGTTACTTATAAATTTCCATTATGTCAGACGAAAACTTGTGTAATGCAGTCTAGACTTGGAACCTCGTGACAACCAAGTCTACATATAAAGGAAATTCCCTTTTACATAAAAAATATCTCTGCATTTTTGGATGCTGTGCGACTAGATTTCCTCAAAGTGTCAGGAAAAGATGAATCCATGAACATTTTATGAGCTCCTGCAGCAGCAGTTAACGGGTTAAACTCCCGGAGGGGTAAATATTTATTGTTATCAAATGTTGCAGCTGCATGCACCGCTTTTTTAAAATCATAATCTTAATATCAGGCTGCATCATTCCCCCTTAAGTGACACCGTCGTCGACCTGGTTCATTATCCACACACGGGGAGGACTGCAGTCTCGCGCGGCCACACACGCTGCAACTATCGGAGTGACCTCTGACTCCGCGCTTTGTCCAAAGTCCATTTTGGCTCCAGGTCGGGTTGTGAAATAGATTAGCCTCCCCTCTATCCCTGCTGTTTTGTTTTTCCTCCCAAGATATGTCTCATCTCACTGTCACCGCGTATCTTCACTTCCACGTCTCTTGTTGTCCTATTACATCATCATATTTTTGTGTGCGTCATGCGCCTGCTCCAACAGACGCCTGTTCAAACATACTGCACAAGCCTCCGGTGCAACAACATTCCTTGTAATAACCCGTAGTGTAATTCATTAGGATATCATTTACATATGCATCTTCTTAATAATCCTTTCAAAATAAAAGCATCTCTCAGCAAAATAAAACAAATCGAATAACTGGCGATATAAATTAATAAATAAATTACCTGTGGTGTTTAAAGTCTTTTCAACTTCATCCTCAGCCCCGTCTATTAATTATATAACTAAACAACCGACCATGACTCGTTTACGTTTTATTATTATGTTGCTTATGTGAGTATTTGAAGATTAAAACGCAGCAGTTCAGCGGAAACACGTGAGAATGAAAACCTGCTGATGCTGCATCACTGGTGAAGCATCACTTTTTTTTGTTCTACCTCTAGCTACATGATTGATCGATCTCATGAGTATATATCCAGACTCATGCTAAGAGAATTTCAAAATAAACAACCAGATAAATAAATAAGCTTTTCCTAAATGTACAAATCAATAAAAGAACATTGTAGTATTGTTTTCTGTCTTAATATCCATGCTTTTTCAATATATAAATCTCTTGAAGAACCAGCTCAACACGTCACACTCAGACATCCAAAATAAGTCGAGGTTCTTCACCTGAACTTCTTCAAACAATTGATTTCTCAGGTTTTTGTACAAAGGGCATGGAAACAGAAAATGAAATTCATCTTCCACAACTTCAAGATCACACAAAACACATACATGCTGCTCCTCAGAGATGCATTTAAACCATAGAAGTATTTTCTGACACAGCTGTAGCTACTTAGAAATCTTACTAAAATATCTAAATTGTTAGAAGAGGCACGATTTGCCTGTCAGCCTACTGTCTATTAACCTTTGACCTCTTGAAGTCAATATAACTATCAACACTGACAAGGATGTCACATGTAAGTCAAAAGTCTTGTTATCTCTGATTCAGCAACACTTGGATGGATCATCTTTATTTGTTAAACTTAAATACCGATGAAAAAGCCAACACACTGGAATTCAACTGAGCTGCAGATCGTCTCTGCTGCATTGCTGCATGTTTGAATTAAGCTTTGTTGCCAAAAAACCCATTCACACACGCTGAAAGTCTATTTTAATTTTATTCTAATCAGCTTTTCTGTTCGCAATAAATCACTGGTTGCCTAAAGGTCACTACACCCTAATAATCACTTTAGTCCAAGTTATTATTTCCCGCCACTGCTGTCTTTACATGCTGACAGTGACAAAGTGGAAACATCCCCTTTAAGAAGACTGTGCGGTAACATGACCTTGGAAAATGCGTCTGTTGTCAACAACAGGGAGCACACTTTCAAAACCAGTTTGTAAGACAGAAATAAATGAACACTTGTGTTTTACCTCACTGTTTAGATACAGCAGGACTGCTTGTGCGCATGCTCCATTTTCTGCAACGACGTTATATCCCAACCCTTATAGACACTTAAAGATTGCCACATTTTTAGAGGTTTTTTTTATGTTTTTATTTTCCAAATATCAAAACGCATTTCTGTAAAGTGTAAAGCTCAGATCTCTGGATGGGGTGAGAATGTGTAAAATAAGCTGACAGTCAAGGCCTGTGCTCTCTGATAGGAGGCGTGGTGTTTTTTTAATCAAAGCATCAGTTTATGAGCGTGTGGATGGATTTCTGTGACATGACAGAACCAACCTGGCGAGTTTCCTACAAATATACATATTCAAAATTCTGTAATCGACCACCGTTGCAGGTCTGCAGACACATGCAGTGCACACTGGTTTATGAGTCCTGAAGGTTCCCTTTATCTTACACTGATAAAACAGCAGAACAGGTTTGGTGACATCAACGCTCCTGAAAATTAATTTCAGTGTGTCATCTCATAAATGCCAATAAATGTCAGAATGATCACGTGAACAAGGAAGTGGTGATTGTTCTCTTGTTAACATGCCTGTTAGAGGTTCAGCACAGCAGCTCTGTAGCCCATCTGGCTGCTATTATCTACAGTAAGCAACCATGATAGAGAAGGGTTGGTTAGCTGGTTGGTTGGTGGGTTAATTTATTGTCCAATAAGCTGCAGTTTTACAATGTGGAAATTATGAATCATGTAATTTGCCTAAGTGATTCAAAACGCTTACAAAGAAAAATCCACTGTTCCTTAATTTTGCAGTTGGAGCAAGAAAAGCGCACACTGACTGTGAAGGATGAAGTCGTCCGTTTAATCATCACTTCAGTCACAACACAAGTAAAACCATACATGCTCTTGATCACGGTGACGCCTTGTTCACCTGCCTGAACACTTGAGTTATATATCAGCTCCAAATCTTTTAAAATTCAGCATGACCAAAACAAAACGATCCTCACACATCACAACAAATTTGGCTTCCCTGCTCTGGCTTCCTGTCTCTGTTAGAATCCATTTTAAAGTTCTTTTAATCACATACAAGACTCTTAATGATCTGATGTCAGAGTATATAACTGAGCTTCGACAAAGGCTGATCGAGCCTTTTCAGCAGCCTCCCACTGAGCATCAGATCAGCTGATTCGCGACTTTAAATCTCATCTGAAAATTTACTTTTACATACTGGCCTTTCCTGACAGTTGATAGACTTATTGTGTGCGTGGGAGT